CGATTTTTTTGGACATTTTATCATAACGCGCTTGAGAAAAAGTGGCAACCGGTGGTACGACGTGGATACGCTATTGACGCTATAATAACGTGCATACTTTGTGCGGATATCATATACAAATGTAATTTGCGGGTCATTCGAGTAAAATGCACAGGACCTCGTTAAAATTTTTCGATGTTGCTCAATTAGTTCTGTCAGTCCAGGACATACGGTAAAAGTTTCTTCTGTGAATATTTCACCCACAAAAACACACTTCACTTGCTGTTCTTTATGTCCTTAAAGAATAGCTTGAATTCGATTAAATATTTCCCTAGGCGAAGGTGCTGACGTAATACCATTTTCTCCCTAATTTAAAATAATAGTATGAGCTTCATTCGCATGTCTGCATCCATTCGATGCGTTCTTAAACCACGCTAATATGCACGAAGAAATTTCACATTTCAGGGTACGTGCATTTTCTTTGTTCTTTTGCAGAACTTCATAAGCCTGTTCACATAACTATCGCCAAAAATTACAAACTAAGTCATGTTACTATATGGTATTTGACAAGAGAGTGATTCTTTGTTAGAATGTTGCCTTTTTCAGAGCGTTTTTGTTATCATCGGCAGCCTCGAAAATACTGTCTACAACGGTCGGTCTCGTCGACTGGGCAGTTTGTATGTCTGTAACATTCTAATGAAAAGAGACATTATATGTGGCAAATATGACCATGAATAATGAGTGTGTATGTTTATAACTCGAAAACTCTCTATTTATTTCAAACTTGAGACATTTTGATCAAAAGAAAAACAACAAATTTTCACGGAATTCCAGCAGCTGATATTAATGCACCGTTAAAACATTTTATGAAATGGGGACATTTCTCCAAAATTGCCTAATAGTATCCGCAGTCAATAGATATCTTCAGCTAGACATATCAAGCAAATATTTCCTTTTGGATGTTATTAAGATAACATTAGGTGTATTACATCAAACCAACAATTGACGTTACTCAGAAAATCTGCGCATAATTTAAGAATAAATTTTGGAGGTTTGGTACTAATAATTAAACGAACATCATTTTTAGTATTTATAGTATGACGTATTCCATACAACATTTTACCATTATAAAACTACAAAATTAATAATAATGATATGCTTACAAGCCATTCATATAGAACTATGGCGTACCCACTTGCCGCCCCTGTCCCAGCAAGGCCTACAAAATGCTCACTGCCTATATTACTTGAAAACAATGACGCACCAACCTATTAACAATATAATATGAGCCGCGTCACGACAAAACCAACATAGTGGGTTTGCGACCAGCATGGATCCAGACCAGCCTGCGCATCCGCGCAGTCTGGTCAGGATCCATGCTGTTCGCTATCAGTTTCTCTACTTGTTATAGGGTTTGTAAGCAAACAGCATGGATCCTGATCAGACTGCGCGGATGCGCAGGCTGGTCTGGATCCATGCTGGTCGCAAACCCACTATGTTGGTTTTGTCGTGACGCGGCTCATATAAAGTTTTGATCAATCCTACGTCATGCACTGCAACGTAAAGTTCAGACTTTATTTCGTAACCCTATGTTAAAGATTGAATATTGGATACTGTTAAACACGTTTATTTCGCAAATTCGAGATCTTTGTCTTAAGCAGATTTGTTCATTTATTTGCGTTTTTTTATTTACAAAGACTAAAATTCTTTAAAAAGAAAAAAACTTCAAATTTTTTGTACTAACATTTTGGTGAGGTTATTTTATTCGAGTAAGGATTTTTCTACGACATTTTTTTAGTTTGCAAGGCTTGAAATCGCGAATATTAGCAGAAATTAAAACGTCATCAATACAACATGTTTTACATTTTTTATCAGTGCAAGGTAAAAGGTGTTGCTGTGTCAATAACTGTCAAGAAAACAAAGAATTGTGCGATTTTTACTTATTTTTCATGATTTGTTTTATCAATACTTCTAAAGGATCTAAAATATTTGAAATATAATTTTAGGGACTGGCCCCGATCAAAATAACATAGAGAATGCATTCTTTGTTTATTTTTCATTTTTATTTTTCTTATTGTTGTTGTTGTAGAAGAAGTTGTTGTTATTTATTTAGAAAAAAAAATGTTTACCGGTATCCATGACATTGAGCGTCCTGCAAGGAAATAACCTCGGACAGTCCCTCGATTCGGACGACACAAACTCTGTTTTAACGAAAAAAGTAAATGAAATGATTTTTTTTTGACAATGAAATAGAATTATTATAATAAAAGTACATAAATCAGGAACTTGTATTTCATTGAGGTTCTGGTGCCTACGGATTAGCTGGGGGAAAAAAACTAAAAAAAAAAAATTCTTAATTCCGAAGTTAGTCTATTGAATCTTTATTCGAAAAATTATTTTTAATTAAAATGTACGAATGTTATTTTTTTTAGTTTCATGTTTGCAAAGTAACTTACCCAAATTCCCACTAGCAACACTAGAACAAAATAAACAACAACAACTGAAATATCTCCCCAATGAGTAATCCGCCGTGACTCCATATTCAACTAATAATTTGATGCAATATTCCTGAATATATATTTTGTCTTTATAAAAGACTGTTGTATACTATTAAATGGAAGATTGATTTATATCATAGTAATCCTACATATAATTTTCACAAATGACCGTTGTGTTGTTTATATATGTAGATAAAACACCTTAAGGGTTAAGTCGTTGCACTGAACAAGAAATATAGGACATAAGATAACGCTTATAAGACAAAGATGGTCGCAACTACTATCTGCTATCAAACACATGAAATGACCTTTCGCATTTTTTTCTCCCACCACGTTTCGTGTAATGACATAATTATAATGAATTAGGAAATGTTTTGACGTTTTTTTCTACCGGCACAGTAAACGATTTTCACTTTTTCGTATGCGCGTGCGGTTTATCCAAAAAGTCTGGCTAAATGAAAGAATGGTAACGAAACGCTTTTGAATATGTTATCCATAATTTAATTTACATGCATGCATGATTCTGGAAAGGACGGCTTCTTTATTAACCATTTTTTAATGAAACCGTTGAGCTCACATGCATCACTTTTACATGTACCGTATTATAATATATAGGACAACGGTGGCCTAGTGGTTAAGGTGTCTGCCTCTCTACCCATGGATCATGGATTTGAGCCCTAATCGGGACACGACCATGTTTCTTTATATGAAATCAGTACTGATTGGGGTTACAGGAAGCGGATTCGAAAGTGATTATTATAAGTTGAATGAACTTGTTTCGCAAACGAGCTTAAATAACTATGGTTAAACCAAACCATGATACATACATGTGTACGATAGAAATTAATATGGTCAAATTAATTCATAAAAATATAAAATGGTACCACTTTTCAATTTCTGACATAGTTCAACCCGGCATGATTAGAGGATTGTTTCAGGATGTTTATCTCCCCTTATTTGATTTGTTTTGGGATACATTGTAATAGGACAAACAACTACCAATAAGGTTAGCCGAACCCTAAAGAAACTCCGCTAAGCTCGAAAAGTCTAAAGCATAAAAATTTGAATTTTTTACAGAGATCAGACGGGACAGTTATTATAATAGACATGCAACAATCAAGAAATATACTGAGAAATAGATGGAAAATCGTATTTGTGTGGAAGCCCGTTAGAGTCAAAATGTGGCTACGCTTTTCACTTTTGGCAATTTTCTACAATTAAAATGATTATTTTTAAAAAAGAAATATCAAATGATCAGAAATTTTGCACATTAGTTATTGGTCTAAACCTTCATTAAATAGAATATTATTCTCGAAAAAATTATTTTCCAGTCCCGTCCTGTCAAAAAACGTCAGTGGAGTCCCTTTAATAGGATAAAATTCATTGCATTACATCTAAACCGGTAAGTAGATTGCTCGATTCTAGTGCCTGATGCAAAGTAGTTATAAGGTTGTTATTTTGTTCTGGTTCTTTGAGATCAATAAGATAAATAAGATAAAAAATTTAGTATCAAGAAACTAATATCATTCATCCGGTGCTAGGGGGCCAGAGAGATGTCGCATTCTTCTATCCCAAATCAGCTAGTCTATTTTTATTTGCATTTTGTCTTCTCTGCTCGAGGAATCATGATTTATAAATTCAATTTAGTTCTAAGACCAGTCATCCTATATCACGTATTAAAGAGATCACATACATACCAGACTAGACGTTAGAGCCGTTACAAGTCAGATGGACAAAATGTTGCAATAGCAAATACTCGTGGACAGGTGGAAGGTAATGTTTGTAAATATGCCCACGCTTTGAGACTTGCATGTAGCCTTTACTGGAATTAGGTCACATGATCACAAAAAATAAAGGATCAGGATCATGATCAGGATCAAATTTGAATATTTCAAATTCTCCATTTTTGTATCCTGATAGATTAAATATTAAATATTAACTTGATAAAATTAGATTTGAAATAGCATATTTAAGAAATTTTATAATAATAATAATAATAATAATAATAATAATAATAATAATAATAATAATAATGACAATAATAATAATAATAATAATAATAATAATAATAATAATAATAATAATAATAAAAATAATAATAATAATAATAATAATAATAACAATGATAATAATAATTATGATGATAATGATAATAATAATTAAAATCATTATTATTTGCAAAATATAGTCATTTCACATTTGGTGCAAATATTGATCCTGATCCTAAAATAAATCCTATTTTTGATCGATTTATGCGTGTATTTTTTTTTATTGTTGATTATTGATCCCAAAATAGTTGGTTTCTTTGCAAATCAGCAGTTTTTTTTACAATATGAATATGTACCATTTAATCCTATTCTAGCAAAAACGATCAATTTAAATATTACAAAACAATGAAAATAAAATCAGAATCATTAATTTTTATCCTAATCCTGATATTTTCTTAGTAAACGCGCGGACAGGAGTAAAGACGAAGGAACTAATAAATAAAAGAGCATACAAAAACATGTGTTGCAGAAGAGAAAAGTTTATTCATAGAATGATAAGAGTTTGAAATACAAAAATGTAATCCTAAATGATTCAATAATGCATGTCTAATATAGACCATTTTAAAATATTGTTTAGATAAACAATAATTACTATTCATATTGTTTAGATACAATCTTTTACACAAATTAAAATGTCACTTAGATAGAGTAAAAAGAGGAAATCAACAGGAGCATTCAGGTAATGGTGTACATTGTAGGCGTCTATCCTTCAATCTTTCCAGATTAAAGATTTCCAACAAATTGATGAGGTCTACTTGGCTGGGATATTTATAATTCTCCTGTAGGTTTCTGTAAATAATTAAAAAGAAATTTGCAATGGTGTTATCGAGGCTTTGTTTTCGGGATACTTCAAAGATTCCAGCTATATCACTTTATTCAAAGTTATAAATTTTATAGCATTGTTAAAAAATTCGATTGTCTTATTTTATTATTTATCGAGGATTTGTTATGTTAAGAAACTTCAAGTATTCCAGCTATATTATTTTATTAAGATATACTTAAAATATATTTTATTGATTGTGCACCTACATGTTTCCTTTTTTTGTTTTTGGATTTCATGTTTATAACTAAATTGTTCTCACGTCAATATAAACACATATATTTGTACTTTTTAACTTAAACCTAACTTAATATCAGATTCGTACTATTTAACTTTAACTTAAAATCACATTCGCACTTTTTAACTTTAACGTTAACTTGATATCAGATTCGTACTATTTAATTTTATCTTAATATCAGATTCGTTCTATTTAACTTTAACGTTAATTTAATATCAGATTCGTAATATTTAACTTTAACGTTAAATTAATATCAGATTCGTACTATTTAACGTTAACGTTAACTTACTATCAGATTCGTACCATTTAACTTTAACTTAACTAAATATCAGATTCATTTTTCATGTCAACCCGATTAACTAAAAAAAAAACATGTGTGGTTCTTAACAGAACTTATTCATAATCATAACAGTTGTAGAATGATATAAACTATTGTTGTAAACAGATAAAGTCGAGATCATGACATGGAACTTTCCGGTGACTATTTAAAACTGATTGGTTCAAGAAACGTATTATAAGCTAATACATGTTATAGCTGGCAACACAATCGACTTAAAGTAAATAAACTTAAACTAAGTTCATCTAAATTAAAGTTAAACACTTCTTACCCTCTTTGATGACCGTGTAACTGCAGTGGCACTCTGAAAAAAGGGTAACAGCAAAATTAGTGTCACAGGAAGTAGCTTATGCATGTGTTTAGTGACCTTTAAAGGTACATAATGCCTCAGAATCAAATAAATATTTCCTTCCGTAAAAATGGCAAATATGAGTTCTATAACGTTAAGGTAATTGTTTAAGAGCATGTAGGATGCATGTCACTTGAAGAAAGTAGTCATAAATATGAAATAATAGGTAATTAAAGAAGCAAATGTAACCAAAGTTGTATTCTTACTTCTATACAAAATACTAAATCACAAAAACTGTATTTATTAACAAACAAAAAAAAGAAAAAATAGATAAAAAGTAAAATGTTGGTTTACGTATTTGAACATTGGGTAACTTTTTAGATACTACTCGTCTAAAGTTATAAAGTTACATAAAAACAGAAAAATACTTTTAAGAAATAAATATAAAAAACATCTGTGGGGCATGATTGGCCTTTAACCTGCTGGGACCGTATGTGATAAAGGTTATGTTCGTGTGACACTTATTGACCGTGCGGTTAGCTCAATAGGTGGAGCGTTGGACTGTGAATTTGGCGACCCGTGTTGGATTCCCAGACGGTTAAGCTCACTTTCGATGTGATTGATCATGAAATCTTTTCTACGATCATTCGCATTGTATCTCTGCCCTGGCATGAACAGAAGTTTCAGTTCCTTGCGAAAGTAGAGGCAACTTGTCCTGGTAAACTGACAGCGTGCCAGGGAACGATGCGGGGGCTAAACTGTGGCCTGGAAAATGTGGTTTACTGCCATGATCCCAACACAACACTTATTGACTTTGTTAATACAACGGACGTTACCCTATTTCTGAAAGTTTCGAGATCTATCAGTACGTCTTGGAAGAAGAAAAAAATATAATAAAAAATAGAATAATGATAAGAAAAATTAAAAAAAAAAACACGTTTATTTACCCAATAGTTCGTCCACTGTTTCTGAAAATAGAAATGGTAAATTGAAAATAAATTACAGCTTACAGCTTTTAAATCATTGGTTTATTTTCAAGAGCATTTATAATGATTTCAGAAGCAGAAATTAATACAAACGACCATAATTTACAAGGTATCTGTAATAAGCTAGGGTATTAAAAATGACAAATTAGATAAAAATGGTCTTACCGTCCGACATGTTGTCAAAATCAGCTCCAACTGAAAAAGATGAACACTAAAATATGTAGATTTTCGGAGTAATATGCCAAATTCATTGATACATTTGAATTTTATAATTCTATATGCAGTAAAACAGGACCTGTCTGCGGAGAGCGCGCTGCACTTTTCTCAGTGCCAGGTATTTAAGCAACACAGAAAAGAGGAGATAATTCTGCAAACACGCTTAGCAGCACTTTTCTCAGTGCTGGTTATTTGAGCAACATAGAAAAGGGGAGATAATTCTGCAAAACATACTTAAGAGACATTCTTGCCTAAAATAGTAAAAAAAAAAAATTCAAGTCTGAAGTGAGAACCTTTGACGCTTTTAAGAAAAGACAAATATTCTAATTAAAAAATAGGAAATGATTAAGCAAAAAAGGCTTTAAAGATTATCAGGTTCAGAAATGCAGGCAGTTGACAACTACTCATACTTCAAGGTGGATATATTTGATACTTTTAGAGTAGTGTACCTTTACAAAAAAGTTAATCAAGAAATTAAGACTCAAAAGGTGGCATAACTGAGAAACAATGAAGGTATATGTCCTTTAGAAATGCATTTTAGTTTAAAATTTGAACAAGTATTCTAAGCTTAGCAAGAAGTATTGAATTTTTTTTTTCTTGAGAAACTGAAATGAGAAGAAAAATCTTATGTCAAAAAAGGGGCGTAACTTTGCAAATTTAACTTTAAGGAGTAACCTGCCCTTTTGCAGTTGTGTCATATTATGATAGTGAACATGATCATGCATTTTAAAGCTTTAAAGTGAACGCCTTAGACAGTTTCCGATATAACTGGACATTAACTAAAAGGTTAACCAGTGCAAAAAGAAAAAGTTGGAAAAGGGAGCATAACTTTGCATTAAACACTTTTAGGACTATCCGTCCTATTGAAATGGCGTCCTTTTATGAATGGTTTCTGAGAAAATAGACATCAACAAAAATGTGTCTCAGTGTAGCAATTGGATAACAAGTTAGCCAATTTACATAAAAATGTAATAAATGGAACGGTCCATTCTTATGACGAGGAGAGATTCATGAAAATAAATCTTCGAAATGTGGAGTTTTTAACATAATAACGCACAGTTACCCTCTTTATCAATGCCTGCGATTAAAACAGTTCTGTTTCACTTTTATTTTAAAGATATACTATTAGTAATAAAGATGTCAAATATGTTATACGGTTCAATAAAAAAAAGGTTATAAACTTGCATAACTCGAGCCGCTTGGAGAGGGTTATATTGCAAAAGGTTTATACACAACCATGCAACGTGACAGACTTACACCATTTTATACGAATTTATCATTCAAAATGATTACTTTGCTTGAAAAAAAAGAAAGATGTATTTTACCTGACATGACAACAGCCGTGTATTATATAGGCTTATATAAAGGTCACGATTATCCAATGAAAAACGACGTTACAAACGTGCAGTATTATAAAAGCAAAACTTTACCTCTGAAACGAAGGTATCCCATTTCCTCCACCATCATGTCCGTATATTCCTTAACTTTCAAGGACACAAGGTCAGTTTTTCTTACTTAAAAGAAAACAACATAAAATAATATATACTTTTATATCAATAAAGATATACAAACTATAATTTATAAAGACTTTTTAGACAGGTTATACGGCCATATTTAAACGGTTGTTTGGGAATATATCGTAACTAACCGTTTATATGCAGTAATATTACCTGTCAGAAATACTGATTACGAATTTATAAAACATGTGCGATTTCTTAATAAATTGAGAGCAGTCAAGCATATCGTGTACATAAATTTACATAAACGTCACGATTACCCAATAAAAAACGGTGTACCAAACATGCAGTATTATTAGATCTGCAATAAGTAAAAGTAATTTAATTGTCACAAATATATCCTCCCATGTAAGTGACAAACTTGTATCAAAATAAAAATGTGGCATAAGGAGAAATTCAATAACATGAAAACGATTTATACTTTTACAGTACGAAAAAAGAAAGCCACATAGATACATGTACGAGTAATACAACTATGATTTTAGTTGATACATTTATTAAATAACATTAAGTGATGGTTTGTTTTCTTATATCGGCCTTCAGATTTTTTACAGGCAAGATTTTGGTTAGCAGATTTTATTCAGACGCGAGAAACAGGGTTTACGGAATATTTGCAAGTTTAAACAAGTAAAATTTATTTAAAAAGGTACACACATAAATTACTTACAGCCACTAGCAATGCGCAACTCCCGTTTACTGTAAAGGTCTTGGGTGTCGTCATTGTTTTCTTAAAAATATAACAGTAGCGTGTTAGAATTCGTCTTCCACTAAGCTTAGTAACGCATTTCCTTTAAAGGCTTAATATGTCTCAGAAAAAAAGTTTCCTTCTTTAGAAAAGGCAAACGCTAGTTTTATAACATATGGAAAACGTATGGAAATGGTTTAAGAGCATGTTAAAAGGCAGCATAGGCAAAACAGGGTTCAGCTGCTAATCAGTAAGCTTTCAGAAACTAAATCAGGTCATAAAAAATATGAAAAAAAACTTTTAAGAAATAACAATTAATCCATTTCTGGCGCATAATGGGTTTTTAGACAAATGACAATCAGATTGATCAGGTGTATTCTATGGTTTAAAAGTGGGGAGCTGACCACGTGATTAATCTAAACTCACAGAACAGAACTGAATAACAATTTTAAAATTGTTGAATAAAATTGTTGTTCTGTTCTAAACTAACCACTCTAGGAACAATTGATAGCGTAAATGTTATCAACAAGTGAGATTTAATATGCGATGCATTTCATTCACAGTAATCTCCCCTATAACGAGGAGCAATTGACTAATTGTTAAGAAAAAAATGGAAGATTTGATATTAGATTTATTTAATTAACAGCAGATACTTTTACAAGGAAGGGCAATTGTCTAAGTGTAAGAAAAAAGGAAATTTAATATATGGCTAATTAAAGGTCAAGAGATTTGTTATCTACTAAAATTTTCTAATTTTGATATGGAATAAGAAATTTTTTTTTTTAAATATTCCCATTTTAGGTATTAATAATTGAATATTCATCATGATTAAGCTAAAATGCCCTTACCTTTGTAGATTCTGGCAAAGGTTGTCTCTGTTTTCTCCCCTTCATCGAGTGCACACTGCATGAATTCTACCGACAAAGTAAAAATAAAATCGTTCAAAATCAATGTAATTATGTTTCAATTGAAGACAAATTAAAGTCATCAACACCGGCTTGCGATCCATTTACCTATTTGCCTCTGTAGTTGGCTCGCAAAAAAAAAAAAATCAAACTCGCATTCAAATTAACGCCGGTTAAAATTTAAAAAATGAATAGTTTTGCATGCTGTAGTAACCAGAATAGGTCACTAAAATTAAATCGACAGAATACAAAACAAGATATACAAAACAAAAATACTTCTGTAACATTCTAAATTAACATGACGTATTTTTTTCCATTTCGTTTACATCAGCGTAATTGGGCATTACCTTCGTTATAACTGGGATGAAAATAGTTCTAATAATAACAATAATTATATTGACTTTGTTTGTGTTCTGACAATAAAAACAAACTTTTAGTGTTAAGTATATATGAGCCGCGTCACGACAAAACTAACATAATGGATTTGGGTCCAGCATGGATCCAGACCATCCTGCGCCTCTGCGCAGTCTGCTCAGGATCCATGCTGTTCGCTATCAGTTTCTCTACTTGTAAAAGGGTTTGTAAGCGAACAGAATGGATCCTGATCAGACTACGCGGATGCGCATGGTGGTCTGGATCCATGCTGGTCGCAAACGCATTACGTTGGTTTTGTCATGACGCGGCTCATATTGCTTTATTTCTTAAAGGGGCTCCGCGGAGGTTTTTCTAACATGATGGTACAAGGAATACATTTTCACAGGCCTAATGTTCCTTTATTGTAAGTCTAGACAAATTACCAGTGTGCAAAATTTCAGATCATTCGCTAACATTTTTTCAGAATAATTATTCTGTGGAAAAATAAAACAATACGTTACAACGCTTTTCACTCAAACTTGGGCCTGCAGAATAGCAGAAAATATCGTTTTCAATCTATTTCTTATTATTATATTAAATAATTGCCCTTAGCATATATTTCTGTACTGAATGTACGTAAGAAAATCAGGTTTTATGTTATAATGCTTCTAGACATCAGTGGTTGAGTCCCTTTAAAATCAAATACAATATGCATCAAATAAAATTGTTCCGTTTTGACATTGCGTAGTTGTTATACATGAGGAACGAACGATTAGTCTGCCCACAAATTGCACTGCGAGTTTGAAATGTTTGAAATTGATTCTTATTATACAATCACTACGTTCAAAAATCATTCATGATATAAATTAAGGATCGAGGATGGCAGTCAGGATGTCTGTGTTAAACTCGACAAAATCCTAAAACACGCAACGTCTTAACAGCCGAATATCAAACTAAAAAAAAAGTATATTATAATAATATCGTAGAATGTCAACAACATTTTTTAAAATTTTTTTCCCAAAAAATTAACATTTTTTCCTTATAGGATATGTATTTATAACTTCATTACTTACTTCGGCATTTATTTATTTCCCTAAGTATTTATATATGATTTTTACTTTAAAAAAACATAAAGTTTTTTATTTCTGTACTACCACTGACCACTTAAGTGCCCAATTTTTCATCTGTTTTTATTTTATTCGAACAAAACCAATTTGTTTGCTTCTTATACAATACAAGCGAAAATACTATCAGGGGAGATAATTTAAGAAATTAAGAGTTATCGCTAATTGACTTACCTCCGTCATCAGTCATATCTATACAAGGTACTGTGATATTGTACTCTTCATCACACCTCTGTCCTAAAAAATGAGGGAATTAATGAATTAATTTATTGATTAGTTAATTAATGAATTAATTATCAATGAATAAATGTATGAATGAAATACTTAGTAGATACAAGGGTGTAAAAACGGCTTTATCTTGGTATCAACGATATACCAAGATATTTTAAACATGGAAGACTCAGTATGATATAGCTTTTCGTTACAAATAATGAAAACTTTAAAACCATTAAAGGGCCTCTATTGCCGAATGGTCAAGGCCGGTATCTCCAAACCACTTGTTCCTCGCCACTGTGAGTAATACTCGGATGCTCACTTGTTTTAAAATAATAATGGAATGAGGAGCACCTGAGGTAAAGCTCGAACAACTCCATAAATTAAGACCCTAAATTTAATGGAGTTTGTTTGGCTTGAAATACAACCGAAATGTATATCCACTCCTGGTAAATGATAGAGCAACCTCTTTCGGAGATAAACGATAAATAGCTGCTCTATCGCTACTCTATCGCTAAAATCAAGAGTCAAGTGTTCTCATTTTTTATATTTTTTGTAAGTAACGTTAGTGTAATGACGTAATGTAATGACGTAATGTAAATGGTATCATACCGGACTCTTCTGATCTGACAGTATGGCTTCGGCTACGAGCTCGCATTGCATACTTTGCGATCATTTCCTCTGAAATTTAAGAAGACGTGTATACATCAATTATTTATGAAAATACTTTATAATTGCAGAAACTTGTAAAAATATGTATACTTCAGACTATGTTTGTCTGCATTTACGCGTGTGTACAGTAAAGCCTTCAAATAAAACTTAAAGATCCTGTAACACTATTTTTTTCATACTTTTATTTCATAACTATGATGCCCAAATTAAGAGTTTTTAACATTGTAAGTTCCAATAAGCATTATTTATAAACATATTACCCAATTTAACATTTCATGTAAATAAAGGGAGGTAATTAGAATTTATTTTCTATAAATTCTTAGTCAAATTTTACAATAAGAAAATAATGCATGTAATTTATTGATTAAATAAAACGTGCACAAATATTTGCAGTACACATTTACATATTCTTCGATGTTTGAAAATTGTTTAATTTGTATAATTTATATACATATATTTTTTTGCAAGTGTGGTATACACACAGTAACAATATCAATAAAAAAACATACAGGATCTTTAAACAAGCAATGTTTATGTATTCATATATTTACTTACTTTTTCAGTGTTTTATAACGAGTATTTTACACTTGATAAACAGTTTTTGATATGAAAACAAAAATCTACTTACTCAGTACTTCACGGAGATCAGCTGTAAACAAAAGACGTGGAATATTATAAGGTTATATATATAAATATGCATTATTTAAACAAATGTAGGCCACAATTTTTTTTCTTTCCTTCAGACAGGTATTATCACGTAAAATAGAGAAAACAAGAACCTCTGTTGTACGTCAAAATAAACGGCAATAACTAAAAAATGAAAATATTGCCAAAGAAGAGCGTAATACACTATGCCCTATTTATTATTGCCCCGTACATCACACCCGTAAAGTGATCAGTTACTTGTGTAATACATGTACACTTGACCCTGAGGCCGGATCATTTTTTTTCAGAAGAAATAATAAATTGATAAAACTGAGTTACAACCCTTAGTAAACAGTTTAACGTGTTTAAAGAAAAAAGAAAAAAAAAGAGAAATAATTTATATATTATCCGTGAATACAACGTTTATATATATATTTTTTTTTTAAAATTGGAAATTTCACAAATTTGTACAGAAAAATGCCTGGATAAACTAAGTATTAGCAAAATCTGAAGTTTACTTACCTTTCCTCTCTTCTTCGTTTGCAAGATCAAATTTGACTTTTGGACGAGTCGATCTTTCGTCAACCTTGTCTGCAAGCAAAGCATGCAAAATAATTTCTGTGTATTGCAGTCAGAGGTGCAACTTAGAAAGTTATTACCTATTGAGGCCGCCATTATTTCTAAGACAAACTATATATGAGCCGCGTCACGACAAAACCAACATAATGGGTTTGCGACCAGCATGGATCCAGACCAGTCTGCGCATCCGCGCAGTCTGATCAGGATCCATGCTGTTCGCTAACGTTTCTCTACTTTTAATAGAGTTAGTAAGCGAACAGCATGGATCCTGATCAGACTGCGCGGATGCGCAGGCTGGTCTGGATCCATGCTGGTCGCAAACGCACTATGTTGGTTTTGTCATGACGCGGCTCATATGTTGGCAGTATTTTTAAACCACTGTCAAATACTTGCATCAAATTCAGTGCTTTAAGGCACATGATACAACAATTATATGTTTAAGGTATTACTAAAAGTTTCAGTATCAAACTCAAACAATTTTAAGGTACGGCCTTACCCATTGGTCGAACCGTTTTTAAACTATAATAATAGTAACTAGAGAGTATCTCTTTGACGTATGCATTTCCTGAATAGCTGTATTATAATATACATTGTTACATATTTTAATGGAAAACAACAACAACAACAACAACAACAAAATCAATTTCAGACATTCAAATATCAAGACTGATCTAGCCGTATGCTATTGTTATAGCTTACAAAAAACATAATTTTTCTCATGTTGCACAAATTAAAAAAAAAAAGAAGATAAATGGGAGTGTTCAACATTTTAAATGGTACTTACCCAGCATTGCTTTAAACCTTGCTGCAAAAATAATATATAATCATACGATTAGTTAAGAAATAAGCACATTTAATAAGTACATTTAACAAGTACATTTAATGAGTACATTTAATAGGCACATTTTATAAGCACATTTAGTAACCACATTTAATAAGTACATTCAATAAGTACGTTCAATAAGTACATTTAATAAGTACGTGTAATAAGTACATTTAATAAGCACATTTAATAAGAACAATTAATAAGTACATTTAAGTAGTACATTTAACATATCAAATGTATAAAAAGCCATACACTATGAATATTAAGATTATTTAAAACATAAAAATTTACTTAGTGCAAATTTGCTAACAAAACAAAGTATCTTGGAATTTAAATCTTTAATCATCTGTCCTTTAATAAATTAATGAATTCTAATAACATAATCATTTTCATTATCGACAACATCATCATCATCATCATCATCATCATCATCATCATCATCATCATCACCATCATCATCATCATCATCATCATCATCATCACCACAACCACCACTTTCGTCATCATCGTTGTCATATTCATCATCATCATCATCATTATCAATATCATCAATCATTGACATCACCATCTTTGTTACAATGAATCAATTAGTATTATCAATACCACCACCATTATCCTTAAATTCATTATTTTTTATCATCATTCTTATCATCTTTATTTCTGCTTTTCTATCAATATTTAGAATATTTGCAAGTGTATATTTCAAAATGAGTTTAATAATACTCACATCTTAGGTAATACTATCATAGTAGCAGTGTTTTTGAAATTTGAATATTTTCAATTTACAAACTGTCTGTCCTATCAGTGCATTGTTATATTATTAACAAATACATGTACATACATCATAGAACTATATTTATTGTTCTTTAAAGGAACTCGACTGAGGTTTTTTGACAAGATGGAGCCAGAAATATTTTTTCGAAATCAATGTTCCAGTTGGTGTAGATCTAGATAAATAACATTTCAAAATTTCAGATCATTTCGTTCACACCGTGTTTTTCCAGAATGATTATTCTAATGGTAAAAAAATGACCAAACATTGAAAAGTGTTGCATAGCTTTTCACTCAAATTGGAAATAAAATAGCACAAAATATAATTTTCAATTTATTTCTGAGTATATTTTTTTAAATTATTTTTGCTTATCTTCTGTTTAAAGATCCACCCGTTGATCTTTAAATGGAATTCAAACTTGCTTTTCTTATCTTTTGGACTCAGATGAATTCCTTTAATAAAAATGGAAACGAACATATTGTCAAAGGCTGAATAAATTGAATTGAATTAAATTGTAATCTGTAAACATTTGTTAATATCAGCAGACCACTTACAGAGTTTTAGGTACTTGACAAATTATTTTCATTTCACTTATTTCAGAATTATATCTTTTAATTTGAAATCGTTTGTTTCGATACTAGAATTAATTGTATATTTTAATTGGATTGTACCAAATTTTTATTCCCAATTTTCAAGGATTTAGGCGGGCATTAGATTTAAATTGATACGCCGAGCATAGGTGCTAATCTTATCTTTGGCGAGTAATAAAAAGGTAAGTAAATCAATAACAATGAAACAAATGGTACTAAAAAATGTTTACATATGTATCTAAAAATAACATTACGATGTTTTAATATTTATGATAAATTTAACACCTGTACAGTTTTATAGCGTTTTAAGACAATTTGTTTCCTTTAATAAAAGCTAAAGAAAACCGAATAATTTAAAATCACACCTCCCACACATAATAATACAATAAAAATTTCTTACTTTAAACGGCTTTTTATTGTTGTTGTTTTATGTATTGCGTATGAAAACATTGGATCTCTCAGTTCACTTAACGCTGAACTTCTATATTTAGCTAGTAGTTTATACGAAAGGACATAACAAATGGCAAAAATACTGACTTCAATTGAACAAGAAAAGATAGCAATAACAAACATGTATTTGAAAATAAAATGGCATTTCAAAATTCACGGACCGGATAGTGCACTTTTAATTTACTACCTGTTGGTTATATATAATTCACCGATTTTTGAACTGTTTGGCAGACGAAGCTTATACTTTATAGAACAATTTTAAAATATCTTCATTTCATGGTAAACAGATTATACTCTATCTAAAATAGTTTGTGAAATTATTATAATAATCAGAATGTAATGGTAAAAATACGAGCAGTGACTACAGCTTAATATCGAGGATTTAAAGCCAATAAATATTAAAGCTTTTAAGGCCAAGTTTCTTTAAAAAAAACATTGTTCGTTTGTTACCTAAACTATACATACTTCGTAACATAAAGAATCATGTATTCAAAGATAGTTTGCTTGAGCAAAGCGGGGTTGAAGGGAAGAATGATTTAAGAATTAACAATATGATACATTTGAATAGTTGATGGCGAGAATTCGGATATTTTCGGTTTCCGCTTTAAAGTGGATTGATTGGTCTATATTTGGCACATATTCCACAAGTATGCCAAATATTGATAAAAAAACAATAGTAATGTATCATTTGTATATTCTTTTAAAATCATTTTTGAGAAAAAAAAATGTTTATGAAATTCTATGTGTCTTAGAATGAACAGTTATATGATGAAAAATGATGTTTTGTCCAAAGAAAATAATTATCTTCTGCATACAGATATGAAAAATCGGACGATGTATCCCTTATCTATCATATATTATTCTTATGTGGTGTACTGTCATGTCTCGTATGAAACTGAATACTATAAACATAATAATTCATGGCAACAAACCGCGTCGTAAAAAGGTCTATTACAGTTCTTAAACTTTGGACCAATTAACTTTAACGTTCGAAGAGCAGAATATTACAAATCAGTAGAAGCTCTTACACGCGCCCTACCGGTCTAGATGAAAATATGTTTGAGTTGAAAGCAAGAGGTTATAGCTCGAATCTGGATTCAAGAATAGACATAATTCGATAGTACACAGGTTTGAAAATAATTAAATGTAAGTTCTATGGGGACCTAGATGACATGAGGAAAATCACAACCTCCATCAGAGATATGACAGAAGAAGAAGAAGAAGAAGTAGAAGAAGAAGAAGAAGAAGAAGAAGAAAGAAGAATAAGAAGAATAAGAAGAAGAAGAAGAGAGAAGAAGAGAGAAGACTAACTAAATGAAATACAAGTTAATCATTGAACACATCTAAGAAAAACTTACATTGCTTATCCTGCAACAAAATTTAAAGAAAATATAAAAAATATCAACATAAATCTATCATATGACTTTGTAACACATAAGTTTAAGTATAAAAAACAACCTTCATTCCGTTTTTTTTTATCTTTGGAACAGAATTAGTGACGGAAAAAAAGAAAACAGTAGAATTACAAACACACGATTTTAACCTTACTTGCTTAAAGCTGCACGCCTCCAGATGAGCCAAGATATTGTAAGAAATTCAATAAATGTATGAAAAAAAAAATATTCATATATTTCATTAAATTATTTACATGTTATGTGCGATAAATGACTGATTTTGCAGTATCAATCACTATAATTCTACTGCGGTACTAACGCAGTAAGAGGTTTTTTTTTGGTATATTTTGACCTCTTTCTGGTAATTTCCATGGATTGTAAGTGCCGTTTGCAATGTGTAAATTACTGTCTTTGTTCACTTCACAATATTTTATTATGAAATATATTCATGAAAATTAGAATGTATCTGGAGGCATGCTGCTTCAACCATTGTAAGTTATCTAATTAAAAATGGAAAGTAATATAATAAAAATGTATCAGAATTGTACCGAAGTCTTCTTCGTTAAAAGATATAATAAATAAAATGCTAAAATTGAATACAGCTGTCTACTTTTACTAGTTTAAGGAACATTATGCCTCAGAAATGAATGTTCTTATAACATTTAAATGAGCCGTGTCACGACAAAACTAACATAATGCGTTTGCGACCAGCATGGAACCAGACCAGCCTGCGCATCCGCGCAGTCTGATCAGGATCCATGCCGTTCGCTTACAGACCCTATAACAAGTAGAAAAACTGATAGCGAACAGCATAGATCCTGATCAGACTGCGCGGATGCGCAGGCTAGTCTGGATCTATGCTGATCGCAAACCCATTATGTTGGTTTTGTCGTGACGCGACTCAAATAATGACTTCAGAGCTAGCCAAAAGCCTTTCACCTGAAGAAAATATTGCTGAATGTAAAGTTTATCCGTCATAAAAGTAGCAAAATGTAAAAAAAGCAATAAGTTTACTTCCATACAAAGTACTTTAACACTTTAACTGTACTTGTCAATCAACAACAGAAGAAAAAAGATTTTGGAAGCTATAAAAGGACATCAAAACTAAAAAGCTTTCAGGGAAATAAAAATGTTTCTGTTTCTGAGGCAGGGAAATAAAAATGAAAATATTTCTGCTTCTGAGGCAGAGAAATAAAAATAAAAATATTTCTGTTTCTAAAGCATTTTCTTTTTCTGAGGCATACTGGACCGTTTACGTATGAAAACACGTTTTGCATATTAATTTGACAAATAACTATGAGCTCATTTCAGTGTTTTAGATAAAAAATAGATGGGCAGATTAAATTATCTTAAATCATAAAATTATTTACTTTTGTTGATACTAAACAAGTATCTTTCGTTTCTATCAATAATCATGCTTAAAACTTTATTTAAAAAGATCAAAAATATAAATGTACCAATTTAAACCGTTTTAAATCGTTTGAAAAGCTTGAAATTAACGCAATTTCAAAATAAAATGTTAGCATAACGTATGAAAGAAGTGTAAAGTAAATTACTGCTTGTTAATATTAAAATAAAAACGTATTTAGATTTCTTTACTGACACATATATTCATGATGCATGCACATACAATTGAGCCGTGTCATGACAAAACCATTATAATGCGTTTGCGACCAGCATGGATCCAGACCAGCCAGTGCATCCGCGCAGTCTGATCAGGATCCATGCTGTCCGCTTACCAACCCTATTATAAGTAGAGAAACTGATAGCAA